TGCATTGATAGTTCTTCCTCATGCTAGCCTTCCTTGTCCAGCATGTCTACATTAGTGCACACATATGCATACACACACATACGCTCCATTGTTACCCGACCCTTTTCTGTGTTTTATTTTTTCTTACTACCCCTAAATTTGTTTAATGTATTTTTACTTCAATTGAAATGATAGTTACCTGAGTATAGGAATTTTGATCATCTCCTTGAGATTTATCATCAGCACCTAGAGTAGTGCCTGATAATTCTCAGGTTCAAAATATATGCAGGTGTCATTAGCTGTTAAGGCTCAAAACTTCATAAATTCCTTTCATTGCTATAGCTTGGTAAAGAGAGCTTGATTTGTCTGAGGGCTGGTTGTCCTCATACTTATTTTTAGTATTCTATATGTGTGTTTATGTATATTTATGAGTACATATGTGTGAACAAGTGTTTTGTGTATATTTGTGTTAGCTTTAAATTATTACCCAAATTTGCATCTGTAATCTATTTATAAACGTGTCTTACTTAGTATTCTCTAAAGATCATGACTTTCCTCCAATCTTTCAATCCTTAAATAATGCAAACCATTGGTTAATAAAAGAGCTATCGATTTTAATATAGAGAAGTTGTGACAACTGCTCCATTTAAGTCAATTGAAAGATAGACCAAGGGGAGCTGAGTTATGCACTTAAGAAATAGAGCTTGTGGGGAACCACATTAAACAATTTGTGTTGAAGAAATTTCTGTGGCTAGTTTTCCTAACAGTGTATCATTTACTTACAGTGATTGAGAGTGGACAGGAATGAAGATAGACTGGAATGGGATAATGATAGCATATATTGGTTACAAATGACTTGAGTATTTCAAACAGAATTTTATATTAGTTCAGGCTCTTTATTATATCCAGAGGCACTTGGCATTCTTTTCAGTGAGGTGCCTAGGGAACAAAGTAAAAATAGTTTTACCAGTATTTACAAAGCTACACATTGTATTCTCATTGAATATTTTTTATCACATTTTTTTTTGTACTGCTAGAGGGACATGGTGAATAATAAAGCATTTTATTGTATTACTTGGGACTAATTTGTATTATGAGTTACATATAACAATATCTTATTTGAAATTTGTGGATTTTTCATTTTCAATCAACTTAAAGAGATTAAAGTGTTATTTTAAAAATATCACTAATTTTATAAGGGATGTTAGAAGCATCTCACCACAAAGAATAAGTATTATTCACTTAAACAGAAGTATTCTATCATGAAAAATAATGTTTTGCTTTTGGACACTGCGTTAGACAATGGGAGATGGAGAATGTAACTGAGTTTTTCTGTTGCTTGAAATGATATCTGTTTTTATTTATTACTGAATAAAAGCCTTATTGAGTTATAATTTACATACCATATAATTCACTTAATTAAAGTGTATAGTTTAATTATTTTATTATAACCATAACTGTGTAACCATGGCAACAATCAACTTTAGAGTATTTCTTTTTTTTTTAACTTTTATTTAATGAATATAAATTTCCAAAGTACGGCTTATGGATTACAATGGCTTCCCCCCCATATCGTCTCTCCCACCCGCATCCCTCCCCTTTCCCACTCCCTCTCTCCTTCCATTCACATGAGGATTCATTTTCGATTCTCTTTATATACAGAAGATCAGTTTAGCATACATTAAGTAAAGATTTCAACAGTTTACTCCCACACAAACATAAAGTGAAAAATAATAGATGATTCTTTAAATGATGATGAAATCAGATCAGACCTATTGTCATGTTTAATCCCAGTGAGAGTCAAGTTGGGAATTGATAATTTCTTCTTTTTTATTTTTTTTTTTTACAGAAGATCAGTTTAGTATACATTAAGTAAAGATTTCAACAGTTTGCACCCCCATAGAAACACAAAGTGAAATACACTGTTTGAGTACTCATTATAGCATTAAGTCTCAATGTACAGCACATTAAGGACAGAGATCCTACATGAGGAGTAAGTGCACAGTGACTCCTGTTGTTGACTTTACCAATTGACACTCCTGTCTATGGCATCAGTAATCTCCCTATGTACCAGTCATGAGTTTCCAAGGCTATGGAAGCCTTTTGAGTTCACCGACTCTTATCTTGTTTAGACCAGGTCATAGTCAAAGTGGAGGTTCTCTCCTCCCTTCAGAGAAAGGTACCTCCTTCTTTGAAGACTTGTTCTTTCCACTGGGATCTCACTCACAGAGATCTTTCATTTAGGGTTTGTTTTTTTTTTTTTTTTTTTTTTTTTTTTGCCAGAGTGTCTTGGCTTTCCATGCCTGAAATACTCTCATGGGCTTTTCAGCCAGATCGGAATGCCTTTAGGGCTGATTCTGAGGCCAGAGTGCTGTTTAGGACATCCACCATTCTGTGAGTCTGCTGAGTATCTCGCTTACCATGTTGGATCACTCTCCCCTTTATTTATTCTATCAGTATTAGCAGGTACTAGACTTGTTTATGTGCTCCCTTTGACTCTTAGTCCTTTCATTATGATCAATTGTGGAATCCACCTGATCACTTGGACTGGTGAGATGGCATTGGTACATGCCACCTTGATGGGATTAAATTGGAGTCCCCTGGTATGTTTCTAACTCTACCATTTGGGGCAAGTCAGCTTGAGCATGTCCCAAATTGTACATCTCTTCCCTCTCTTATTCCCACTCTTATGTTTAACAGGGATAACATTTCAGTTAAATTTCAACACTTAAGAATAACTGTGTATTAATTACAGAATTAAACCAGTCATATTAAGTAGAACAGACAAAAAACTACTAAGAGGGATAATGTATTAAGTTGTTCATTAACAGTCAGGGCTATGCTGATCAAGTCACCGTTTCCCATAGTGTCCATTTCACTTCAGGAGGTTTCCTTTTTGGTGTTCAGTCAGTTGTCACCGATCAGGGAGAACATATGGTATTTGTCCCTTTGGGACTGGCTTATTTCACTCAGCATGATGTGTTCCAGATTCCCCCATTTTGTTGCAAATGACTGGATTTCATTGTTTCTTACTGTGGTATAGTGTTCTAAAGAGTACATATCCCATAATTTCTTTATCCAGTCTACCGTTGATGGGCATTTAGGTAGGTTCCAGGTCTTAGCTATTGTGAATTGAGCTGCAATAAACATTAGGGTGCAGACTGCTTTTTTGTTTGCCAATTTAAATTCCTTTGGGTAAATTCCAAGGAGTGGGATGGCTGGGTCAAATGGTAGGGTTATCTTCAGGTTTCTGAGGAATCTCCAGACTGACTTCCATAGTGGCTTGACCAGTTTGCATTCCCACCAACAGTGGGTTAGTGTCCCTTTTTCCCCACATCCTCGCCAGCATCTGTTGTTGGTAGATTTCTGCATGTGAGCCATAACTTTAGAGTATTTCAATCCACCCCTAAAAGATACCCTTTAGAAAACTAGAGCAACAGTCACTCCAATTTACTACCAACTAAACCAGTCCTTCTTTAATCCACCTTCTGTTTCTGTAACTTTGCCTGTTGTGGACATTTTATATACAAGGAATCATGAAATATGTTGCTTTTTTTGACTGTATTCTTTCATTTCATATAACATTTTCAAATATCATCCATGTTGTAATATGAATCAGCACTTTCTTCCTTTTAATTGTCAAATAATATCCCATTGTGTGGATTAACACATTTTAGTTATCCATTAAATAACTGATGTTTATTCATGTAGCTCCCATGTTTTAGCTATTATATGTGATGTTGGTATGAATACCTGTGTACGAAGTCTTTGTATGGTTGTTTTTATTTCTGTTAAATATATACCAAAAAGTATAATTACTCAATTATTTGGTAATTCTATCTGATACTAATTATGTTGAACAACTTTTTACACGCTTATGGGTCTATTTTGTTTATATTTACTTTTTGCATTGAAATTTCCTCGGAGCCAGCAAAGTGGCTCACTTGGTTATTCCTTTGCCTGCGGCGCCAGCATCCCATATGGATGCCGAGTTCTAGTCCCAGTTGCTCCTCTTCCAGTCCAGCTCTCTGCTGTGGCCTGGGAAGGCAGTGGAGGATGGCCCAGGTGCTTGGGCCCCTGCACCCACATGGGAGACCAGGAGGAGGCACCTGGTTCCTGGCTTTGAATCAGCATAACTCCAGCCGTAGCAGCCATTTTGGGAAGTGAACCAATGAAAGGAAGACCTTTCTCTCTGTCTCTCTCTCTTACCATTTAACTCTACCTGTCAAATTAACAAAAAATAAAAAAAAAGAAATTTCCTTTGTTACTATTTTGTAACAAAAGGATATATTGATGTCCTTTTGTAGTGCTGAAAACCACGTATCTCAATTTGTCAGAAGTATATATAAACCATGATAAGTGTGTGATCACTTGTGTGTGTGCACTTTATTGCCCTGAAAAGGTGAGATTTATATGACCTATTTTGATACCAGCATATTTATTTTTAGTTGCTTCTGGGTAATTTTCCACATACTGGGATTTCATGACTTTATTTACATAGTGTAGCTTCAGTATATGTTTGATAAATATGTTTGTAATCTGTTCATATAAACAAAATATTTTTCCTTGAATTTTATGTACTTTTCTTATATTGAAGAAAATAAAGAAATTTATTCTATACTGATGAAGATGATTCTAAACATTATGGTATTAAAATTGTACTTGTTTTAAGAGTTGGCTGAATCAACTTAATACTCTTTAAATTTTTTAAACTTATTTCTGACAATGAAATTATATACTGAATTAAAAATGATCTAAATTAATGAATTCTTGAGGGCAGGAACTATTCTATATAATATTCATATGGCCAATATCTAGAGCTTGGAGCAGCTACATTTATTTTTAATCAGGGATGCTTCTAGTGACTCATATTGTCACTTCCTAAACAGAATTTGTGAGATTGTTTAAGCTGTGAGCAACAAATATGTTTTCTGAATGTGCATATATCTGATATTTAATGATAATATAATAATAAACATTTTAACAAAATTATAATAATTAAATTTTCTCCCTTACCATTTTAGAATGATTTAATTCATGTCTTTATCTTATTTTTCTAGGATACAAAACAAGGTATGCTTGTGGGTTAGTTCATGTTCATTTTATTTATTTATTTTTTAGTGAGGGTAAATTTGTTTCTTTCATTAGTACTGCGGGTTATGGGTCTTAGGCTTTAGATTCTATCAAATGGCACACTCATTTACTGGAAAAAAAATTAAGAAAACAAACACAAATAGCTTTACCTCAGAGACTGAAATTACAATTCTTCACACACCTCCAATGTCATTGGAAAGTTTGTTCAAGGATCCTTTAATAAGAACATTCTTTTACAGCTGTCCCTCAGGGGCTACCAAAGCTGAGGACGTTCTCAGAGGCCTTGTTGACTGGCATAGCTGCCACCTTGTGCTGAAGGTCCCCAAAGCAGTAATTAAATACAGTAGATTTATAATCTTGGCTTACCCTATTGTTTGTTTCTAATGTACTATGGTGGCTGTTCTTGGGGGAGGGAAAACAACAACAACAACATTTAGAAAGCCTATACGCTTTCTAAATCCAACCTGAGGTTACCTGCTACATGATTTGCTAAGATTACTTTTTGTCTCTATAGCTTGTCCTTGGCATGGCAGTGATATCCACTCATTCTTACTCTTCTTTTAATAGATTTTCCGTCGAAGAATGGGGGAAGTATGCCCTTGGGAATGAAACACCTCAAATATTGTGAGGTTGATCACTGGTGGGTGACGATTTTCCATTTTTCTCTTGAGTTTCTGCATGTCTTGTGAAGACACATGGATCACTTTTTCTCTGGAGAATTTTTTCAAAAATTTTCGTAGTAAACAACCGTGCAAGACAGAGATAATGTATCCCTCAGGGGTCGAGAGCTGGATTTTTTCCTACCAAAGATAATAAAACTCATATTTTCTTGTGGGTCAATGATTGGACAAATATGCCAGCAGTAGCAAAAGATATGAATTTCCAGGACTTGAGGTTCTTCAATAGCTGTACAAATCTAATACTTGTATAACACCCACCTGAATCTCTTCTTCCCCACAAGACTTGGGGGGCAAAGGCTCACAATACAAACCTGAAATTAATGCTTCCTGCTCTGCTGTGGGTGATGAAGTATTAAGCTTCTGATCCAAGAGATTCATGTCTTACGCTGACACCTGTGACTGTGACTGCGGCAAGCAATTTGTTAACTTGCAAGTAGGGTAAATTTTCATGTCAATCACAGTTCTTGGTTATGTGAGTTTACAGGTTTTGTACAGCCATTCTCTAAACAAATTCTGTGGGAGAATGCAGATTTGTATATAATGAACTGTCTTTGCTCCTGTGTGAATTAGTATATGTAAAGTTGGAAAATGGAAAGAATAGCCAATAATTCATCTGGTCGGTTTAATTTTCTCATGGAATCTAGTTCATATCTTCTCCCACTAATTGATACAATGAACATCTTTAGTGAACACAGGATTAGAAACTTGTATACATAATTCATGCTTTTCAACCGATTGAAGATAGTGTTTACTGTCAATACCAGTTGTTTGAGAACCAGTTCTCAAGAGATCTCTGCTCCCTAAATACAGGACTTGGTGAATATGATATGGAGAGAAAATGCTTGGAGATAGTTCAGCTTGGTTGACCTGTTAGAAATGTTCCTGGACAAGGAAACTGAGCAAACTGGTCTTTGTTTGCAGATACAATTATATAGACTCTAAGGGGACCAACTTGTGTCCTTACCCTTTTCCCTCCATGTTAAAGAATAAACACAGCACCACCATCACCGCAGAAGCCAGGGGAATTTAAAGCAGACTCAGAAAGCAGACAGAGTGACATTTCCAAGCAGAAAATATCCTATTGTATTCTCTATGGTTAGATTGTAATGTCTATAAGTTGATCTTTCCCACTGCACCGTAAACCAAATATTAGCCACTAGCACACAGCTGGTGAAGTTTTCTCACTGAAGTGTACGAAAAAAGGAGAGTAAATGGGTATACCCCCCCAACTTGTTTCATGTCACTTTGACAGTCTGTAATTACATTCTATTGACACAAAATAATTTCATCTTTAACAAAGCATAATTCATGATGTTTAGATTCCTAAGATACTGGACTTCTAAGGAAAGGAAAAAGAATACCTTGTAAAGAAGGGAATTAATATCCCCTGGCTTCTCAGTGTTTACCTGAGAGTCATGGACTGTTTTCTTTTGATGACATTAGTGAATAGAGACAGAATTTGCTTTACATAAAAATGTTGTTTTACTTTTACCCCATTTTTACCTTCTGGTTCTTTTTTTTCTTCTTTGGATACTGGAGCTTTTCTGGTTTTCATGACTCCCCACTGCCTTACGTTCTTGCTCTTCTCCCATTCTTTGTAAACCTCCAGATTTCTAGAAAATAAAACTTGCTTTCTGTGTTCCTTTGCCTGTCCAGTTCCTCAATTCTTCATTAGTGTAGAGTATGGTACTGATTCATAAAATGTTTCGACTTTACTATTTTAAAGGCAGATGTCTTGACATATCCTTTTCTTTGCCTTTTTTGACTGCCCATGGTTGTCTTGCTGCTATTCCATCACTTTAAAGATCCTATAACCATTCTTACTCATGTGTTTTCCTACTTATAGCTTTCAAAACTGTTGTAAAATTTAAAGCAATATAAGATTGACAATGTTATACTTTGACAAGTCTTCCATGTAAGTTCTAGAAAATTCCTTGCTGAGTAATTCTGATATATTTTTGTACAGTCATATATGCTGAGATTTTACATATTTACATACTTTAAAATGAATAATATATATCTACATAATATATAAAAGTATCTCTAGGCATGAGAGTTTAGCCTACTGTTTATGATATTCAATTTTCATATTGAAGTACTTAAGTTTGATTCCCTGTTACAGCTTGTATTTTTTGTAGATTTTTATTTGTTTATTTGAAAGGCTGAAGGCAGAGTTAGAGACAGAAAGAGAGTGAGAGTGAGAGTGAGAGAGAGAGAGAGAGAGAGGGAAGGAGGGAGGGAGGGAAGGAGAGAGGGAGAAAGAGAAAGAAAGAATATCTTCCATCTTGTGGCTTATACCCAAAATGACTGCAATGGCCAGGGCTGTTCTGGACCAAAGCCAGGATCCAGGAGCTTCTTTCAGGTCTCTCACATGGGTACAAGGGCCCAAGGACATGGGCCATCTTTAGCAGGGAGCTAAATCAAAAATGGAATAGCCAGGACCCAGACAGCACCCATATGGGATGCCGGCACTGCAGGCATAGGCTTTACCCACTATGCCACAGCACTGGCCCTCATAATTAATGTTTTGACTACATTACCTCTGGAAAATTGATTTCTTGGAAAAAAACCCTGAAAATTAAAATAAAAATATATTATAATTCTTTTATTTTTATGAACTTTTACAATATCTAGATCAAAAGTAGTTTCTTATTGAAAATAAAATATTGAATTCTTTCATTGGTGAGTCTAAATACTTTAGGATTCTAAAGAATTTCATCAAAGAGAAAATTAAGATCTTATTATTTTAGATTTTGAGTTTACCCAAACTATCCTGATGTACATCGAACCATTGCACTTACACTTGAACATCAAGATATTGTGATGCTCTTCTAAGAGTATGATTCAAAGAAGGGGAATACCTATTGTTTCCTTTTCTGTTTACTCCGAGTATTCAAAAATGAATGAATATGACCTCATCCTCTATTCTTTTATTCATTCCATTCAGTGGTTATCAAGAGATGATCTTACTGTTTGTTCTTCTCTGGTATCTTAATTTTTTTCTGTATATATCACTTTTTGTTTAATGTGTAGTAAACCCAGATGAAACAATTAAATATTTCAATTCTTTCAAGTGGACCTTGATATAACAGTGGGGGTGTAGAATCATGAACTTGACAACTACTTGAATATGTATGGTCATTTAACTTCCACCTTTTTATCCTTTAATAATTACTTAAAGAGAATATGGGTCTTTAATTCTTTCTTCTAACTTATTTGAGAGACAGAGAAAGAGAGGGAGAAAGAATTCCCCTCTGCTTGTTTATTCCCGTAATGTCTTCAACTTCTTTGACTGGAATGGAACTGAGTTTTGGAGCCAAGAACTCCATTCAAGTCTCAGATATGGATGGTAGGGACACAGCTACATGAGCCTTCATCACTGCCTCCCAATATGGTTCTTAAAGATTAAAGGAAAAGCAAGATTTGAAAGTGAAACCACTTATAAATCTGCATTAACTGATTGTTATTTGAGGAGAAAATGAACCACATGTAGATTCAGAAGGTACAGAGACAGTCTAATTCCATGACTAGAAGGGTATCTTTTGTGAAAACCCAAGCCACATTTTTTTAAAATTTATTTAATGAATATAAATTTCCAAAGTACGGCTTATGGATTACAATGGCTTCCCCCCCATATCGTCTCTCCCACCCGCATCCCTCCCCTTTCCCACTCCCTCTCCCCTTCCATTCACATGAGGATTCATTTTCAATTCTCTTTATATACAGAAGATCAGTTTAGCATACATTAAGATTTCAACAGTTTGCTCCCACACAAACATAAAGTGAAAAATAAAGATGATTTTTTAAATGATGATGAAATCAGATCAGACCTATTGTCATGTTTAATCCCAGTGAGAGTCAAGTTGGGAATCGATAATATATTCTTTTTTTTTTTAAAGAAGATCAGTTTAGTATACATTAAGTAAAGATTTCAACAGTTTGCACCCCCATAGAAACACAAAGTGAAATACACTGTTTGAGTACTCATTATAGCATTAAGCCTCAATGTACAGCATATTAAGGACAGAGATCCTACATGAGGAGTAAGTGCACAGTGACTCCTGTTGTTGACTTTACCAATTGACACTCCTGTCTATGGCATCAGTAATCTCCCTATGCTCCAGTCATGAGTTTCCAAGGCTATGGAAGCCTTTTGAGTTCACCGACTCTTATCTTGTTTAGACCAGGTCATAGTCAAAGTGGAGGTTCTCTCCTCCCTTCAGAGAAAGGTACCTCCTTCTTTGAAGACCTGTTCTTTCCACTGGGATCTCACTCACATTCATTTAGGGTTTTTTTTTTTTTTTTTTTTTTTGCCAGAGTGTCTTGGCTTTCCATGCCTGAAATACTCTCATGGGCTTTTCAGCCAGATCGGAATGCCTTTAGGGCTGATTCTGAGGCCAGAGTGCTGTTTAGGACATCCACCATTCTATGAGTCTGCTGAGTATCTCGCTTACCATGTTGGATCACTCTCCCCTTTATTTATTCTATCGGTTAGTATTAGCAGCTACTAGACTTGTTTATGTGCTCCCTTTGACTCTTAGTCCTTTCATTATGATCAATTGTGAACTGAAATTGATCACTTGGACTAGTGAGATGGCATTGGTACATGCCACCTTGATGGGATTAAATTGGAGTCCCCTGGTATGTTTCTAACTCTACCATTTGGGGCAAGTCAGCTTGAGCATGTCCCAAATTGTACATCTCTTCCCTCTCTTATTCCTACTCTTATGTTTAACAGGGATCACATTTCAGTTAATTTTCAACACTTAAGAATAACTGTGTATTAATTACAGAATTAAACCAGTCATATTAAGTAGAACAGACAAAAAAATACTAAGAGGGATAATGTATTAAGTTGTTCATTAACAGTCAGGGCTATGCTGATCAAGTCACCGTTTCCCATAGTGTCCATTTCACTTCAGGAGGTTTCCTTTTTGGTGTTCAGTCAGTTGTCACCGAT